TCCTCCCCGGGACTCGTTTTTGAAAAAGTAGGACTGTGGGCCGGCTATAAATTTAGCGGGGAACTCGAATACGTCTTCGGCGGGGAGGTGAAAAGTCTGCAAACGAAGCGAAACGCGACTCTGTTGGAAAAAGTCGGAAAACCGTCGAAATCGTGACGACGCCGCGGCGTCGGCGACTGTCTAGTCGGATGAGGGGACTCATTTTTGAAAAAGTAGGATAGCGCGCCGGCTACAAATATAGCGAGGAGCGCGAATATAACGCAAACGGGGACGCCCGGGGCCCCCGAGGGGGGAAAAACTCGATATTTCGAAAAACACGGCGAAAAACGCGCGCGACGGCGGCGCTCGTATCGCGCGCGAGATCGGCCGCCGCGGGCCCGCCGGGAAGAAAGTACGGCCGCGCGCGGCTTGTAAATCTAGCGGGGAACGCGAATAAGGTCACAGCGGGGAGACCCCGGGCCCCCCGAGGGGGTAAAACTCGAAAAACTCGAAAAATTTCGAAAAATTTCGAAAAAATCGAAAAAATCTCGAAACAGTGATAAGAAAGGCTGATTACGCAGCGACGGCTCTGCCGCCGCCGGGAGACCGCCCTCCGGGGAAATTGAATTTTCTCATTGGCTCTCTCTTACGATGGTTCGGATTTAACGCATAGGCGGCGCCCTCGGTTTCTTGCTTTATAGTATAGAGAAGATAGAGACTAGCTCTCCGAGCGTCGCTGGGGGACATCCCCAGACCCCCGTGAGCGGACCCCGAGTGTTGTCGATTTCGGAAGCAGCGGTGGTCTCGTGATGTGGTCGTGGGTCTCAGCCGACGCGGTGTATGGGTGATGTGGTGGTCTGGTGATAAGGACATTGGATTTGTGATAAAAAATAGTGATAATGATACATATATCATATAGTATGGATGGAGCCACATCGTATTATGGCAATACAAAAAGTTGAAGCCGATATTAGCGACGAGTCACCGTATTATATGTTCGATATGCGCATGCGCAACGCAACCTCTCACATATTTATCAGTTGGTGATTATAATATTGAAATATTGAAATCATAGTGTTATTAAATAATTAAATATTTCAATAATAAATTATGAGTAAGAAAGTGAATAATTATAATGCGTGTATATTTTGCTTACGGTCCATTAAGTTGAATCCAGGTTTATCTTTACATAAGTAAGTAAATTAGTAAAAAAAGGTGGATTATATTGTGAATAAAGTAATTAATTTTAGTTTTAGGCATTAGTGTTTACTATAGTTGGTTAAATTCATTTTTCCCAAAAAATTACATTTTAAAATGTCATTACATGTATATAAAAGTATAACAATTTACTCTATAAGTTTCACATACCAACAAATAATATTTTTAAATTATAACAAAAAAACTTAAATCGTTATTCTTGGTTTTAATATGTAATTTCGTCCAAATTTGAATTTAAAATGTCTGTAAAAAATAAATGTGTTCATATATTTTTTAAATTTTTCGGTTACAGTATGAATTATTTATGAGAATCTTTGTTTTAAATTTTCAACACTTAATTATAAAAACCGAACATTTTATAATTTTTTAATTACAATGATTGATAAATTTTGCCTAAAAATTTCCGTTTTTTCCTTAATTTTTAATCTGTTTTTCACGGAACATTGAAAATCTACTGGAAAATTTAAGTTTACTTTTGACCCTCCCCCCCCCAAGTACCAAATAGATTCACTTTCCTTTCAGAAAAGGTACTATTTAAGAAAATCTAAGCATTTTTACTGTCCTAAAACGTGATGACACACAAAAAAAAATAAAAATAAAAAAAAACACACATCATTGTAAAACCAATACATTAATCGCTCCGCTCAGAATCTAAAATAAGTTTGAGTGTTAAGTAATTATGATGTTTTAAAAATTTTTAGTTTTCCTAAAGACCAAGCTTTACGGCTAAAATGGATGGAGGCCTGTGGATTTAGTGAATCAGACATTTATCCTAAGCGTAAAGTATGTTCAGTTCATTTTGAAAAAAATTGCGATACTGGATTAAATAAAAATGTTCTGAAGCGTGGCTCAATTCCTACTTTGCATATTAAAAAGTTAGTTAAATTATTAGGTATTGTTTGTATTAATATATTATGTAATAAGTAACTCATATTCTACTATAAACAATTGTACCTAATTGTTTTTTTGTATATTAAAAATGTTGTCTAGAAAGTGTAATGAAACAGTAAATGGTCCTTCCACACCTAGGGTTCATGATTTAATTCCAGTACAACCTACCTCTTCCATAGACAATTCAGCAGGTAATACAAATACTATGTAGTTATTTAATTTAATTTCTGCATAATGCTTATGGTAACAATGTATTTTTTTAAATTTCCTATTTAAATCACCTATGGCCTTGTTTAAATGTAGAGATAGCCTATTGTAAAATATCTTTCTCTTATGATTATCTTTATTCTTTTAAGTTAATTTTATTTTATTTCAATATAAATCACTAATTTAAATCAATTTTCTTATAATTTTAGAAATTCAAAAACGCAAACTCGGCTTGAGTCCAGATAAAATTATGTCTGAGGAGCCATCATCACCAATTTTGATTACTAGTAATACTGAAGGTAACCTTCCTACCTTCTTTCTCAATTAATTATATATATTTGTTATTTAGTAATTGATACACCTACTCATAAAAAAAGAAAATGCTTTGTTGGTGATATTAAAACACCTGACCTTGCCACCCCAAGGAGAGCTAAAAGGCATTTCAACAGGGCTAAGCTTCAGGTCATGGTTCAAAGAAATAAAATTAAAGTTCTAAATCGAACGATTAGACGGCAAAAAAATAAATTGTCATCTTTAGAAGCGCTTTTAAAGCATTTAAAATCAACAAACCTTCTCTCTGAAGCAGCTCATGATTCGATATTGGTATAAATTATTTATGAAGATTGTTGTGTGTATATTTATTCTACTTGAATACACATTATATAATCTAAATAACATATCTGAAAGTTCAAACAAGTTTATGCATGTAGTTATTAACAATTTTTGGGTTATGTTGAAAATTAATTTGTGTGTGTGTTTAAAATACCTTAAAAAATACTCTATGTTGAAAAGTATCAAAATAATTATTCGTTACTAAAAACATTATATGTTTGTACTTAATCATTTTATATTACTGTATTTGTTTTTTTTTGCCAACTAATATCCACTCACTACACAAATTAAAGAAGTGAAGTGCATGATTTACTAGATGCAAGCAGTACATATTGCTACTACATGTATACAGTAATTAATGACTATTTTGTTGTAAGTGATTTATTTTTTTTAAATAGTTTTATATTTTGCTAATGTTAAGGTAACGGTAATGACAATTATAACAAGTTACATGGAGGTGATGGTAAATAAAAGTATAATTAGTTATGAAAATATATTTATTTTTAATTAATTACTTTACAGAATCAAACTTCTGATACAATAAAACAAATTTTGAACAGAAGTCTTCGATCAAGAAATGCTAAATTTTCACAAGAAATACGTTCCTTTGCTTTAACATTGCAATTTTATTCAGCTAAACCTTACTTTTTTGTTAGAAAATCATTCGGAAAGTTATTGCCTCATCCAGCTACATTGAAAATATGGTATTCTGTTGTCGGAGGTGAACCTGGTTTCACAAATGAAGCTTTTCAGGCCATAAAATCCAAAGTAGAACATTCGCCAAATCCCATAATTTGCAACATAGCTCTGGACGAAATGGCCATTCGGAAACAAGTTGTATTTTTGAATGGAAAATTTTATGGAGGAGTCGATTTAGGGACCGGTGCTGAAAATATTACAGATAATGTTCAAGAAGCTAGTAATGCTTTAGTTTTTTTAGCGACTTGTATAAACGGACATTGGAAGATTCCATTAGGATACTTTTTGATCCATAGTCTTACCGGAAATGAACGAGCCAACCTCTTAACAAAATGTTTAGAATTGTTTGCAGAAACAGGAGCAAAGTGTTATTCAATCACTTTTGACGGAGCATCATCAAATATGTCTATGTGCAAAATAATGGGAGCCAATTTTGATTATTATTCTGAAAACTTTAAGCCTTGGTTTAATTTCTCCCCAACTTCTGAGCTACAAAACAAACCAGTCTATATTTTATGGGATGCTTGCCATATGCTTAAGCTAGTACGAAATACACTTGGAGATAAAAAAAAGTACTCATTAATTGTGATGGCCAATATATTAAATAGGATAACATAGTTCAATTACATGAAATTCAAGAGAGCAAAGGATTGCATGCTGCAAATAAACTAAGAAAACCACATATTAAATACTATGATAATAAAATGAATGTTCGTTTGGCAGCTCAAACCCTAAGCTCAAGTGTGAGCTCAAGTTTATTATTTTGTGAAGAGCTAGGGTTAATGAAAAATGTAAAAGCAACCGCAGAGTTTTGTCAATACATGAATAATGTCTTTGATTTATTACACTGTCGAAACAAATTGTGCAAAGGCGACTATGCTTTTGCAATAAATGAAGAAACTGTTTTTAAAGCTAAACAATTTCTTGAACAATTCAAATTATATATTGAGGGTCTAAAATTTGAACCATTAACAACAAATTCAGAAGGAGAACTGGTATTAAAAAGCCAAAGAAAAACTGGGTTTTTAGGTCTCATCATATGTCTTACTAATACAATAAATTTATTTGAAGAGTTACAAAAGGAAAGAATGTCATTTTTATTGACTTATAAGCTTAGCCAAGATCATATTGAGATATTTTTTAGTGCTATGAGAAGCAGAGGTGGATTCAATAACAACCCGAATGTGATACACTTCAGATCCGCTTACAAGCGTTTGTTGGTTCGACATAATATAGAAGGTTCAGTTTATGCTAATTGTTCGCCACTTGATACTTCTAATATACTTTATGTTAGTGCAAGCAAAAGGACAGACGCAGACGCTATTTACACTGAAATCGACGTTGAGGAGCAAATTTTATTTGATGAATTTGATCATGATTATAATTGTTACCATATGCCTGAGCTAGAAGAATATGTGGTGGATGTCGTACACTACACAAGTGGCTTCATTGTAAGAAAGATCCAAAAAAATAAGGCACTTTGTAAGACATGTGATTCATTTCTAACAGTTGATGATAATAACAATCAAAATTCTTCAAAGTTGTTTCAGCTAAAAAATAGAGGGAAATTAATAAACGTATCTTCCGATGTTCACAAAACATGTTTAGTGACAGAATATATAATTAGAATATGTAATGAAGATTTATTGAGGAAAAAAAATATTAAATTAATATTATCTTTAAAAGCATTGAATGAATTGAGCTCTGACAACACCATATTCAATTCAAAAGAAATAAAAGAGAACATATTGCAACAAGATCTGTTAGATAATCACCGTAGCCAGTACTAAAATTAATAGTTGATTGTGTTATATTACCCTGAGACTCCACCACTTTGCGAAATCACATACTTTTGCAATTAGTGGTCGTAACATAAGGCATAACTATACAAAACAAATTTTATTCCATAACCAAAAAATGTTCTAATTGTTGATATTGTAATCACAATTTTGTTTTTATTTGTTATTAATTATTATAATAATAATGATGAAAATAAATAATATTATGACAAACAATTCAATGACTAGGTACCATGTTTTAACAATTATATATTTTAAAAAATAAATGGTATAATAGCCAATAGGTACCTACTATGATAATATAATAATTACTAATTAGTAAAATAACAAAATAAAATAACTAATAAGTATTAACTTTTAAGCGAAAATACTAGCTACGAACTAAGAAGTAAGATATAAAATAATAAATTTACCGTAGCCGATAGGTAATGAATTAATGATTATTATTATTATCTGTGGTGATAGTAATCTATGGATAATTAAGCGACGAGTTGTTTCGCGCATGCGCATATCGATCACCTAATTCGGTGACTCGTCGCTAATATCGGCTTCAAAATAATATGCAGTTGCTCCATCCATAGTATATGATCTAAGTAATGATATTGGATTTATGATAAGGATAGTGGTTTTGTGATAAACAAATAGTGATAAGGATATTGGATTTGTGATAAGGATAGTGGATTTGTGATAAGGATGTATAATGTTCAAATATTTAGATGTGATTATATTAACTGAAACTTGGCATGATACGAATAACTGTAACTTTAATATTAATGGTTTTCAATTATTTCACTCTAAAGTTAAGAGAAACCAGAATGATGGTATCATTATATTTATTAAGGATAATTTCTCTGTTGATTTTAAAGAATACGGCTGTAATGAATGTAATATTGTTAACTTAACGTTATCTGATATGTCATGCAACGAGCGATTAAATATTTTATGTATATATAGGTCCCCGTCCTCGAATAGCGATGAATTTCTGACCTGTCTATCTAACATCATAAAAACTGATAAATCTTTGATTGGCCGTACTCTTATTATCGGAGATACGAACACTAATATAATTGGCACCGACAATATATATAATGAATATCTAGACTTGCTATGGTCATATGGGTTTCACTCTTTTGTAAACATTTATACGAGACTCCCTACTACCCATACTCACTCATGTATTGATCACGTATTTGTTAAATCTAATGACAATTATATACTTAACAATATTCAAGCAGGCGTAGTACAAATGTATATCACAGATCACTGCCCAGTTGTAACTTCGATCCCTCTACTGAAATATGAAAATCATAATGACAATAATTATAAAAATATTGTAGATTATAAGTTAGTGAAGAGTAAATTAAAAAATGAAACATGGACCTCAGTTAATGATCACGATATCAATAAATCGGTAAAAAATTTTTATGACATAATCTTAAATACTATAAGCTCCTGTACAAATAAAAAATTTTTTCAATCCAAAAACAAAAGAATCAAAGAATGGATGACAGCAGGTCTGCTTCGCTCCACTCGTAGAAAAAACGAACTCTCTATCAAAGTTAAAAAACATCCACTAAATCAATCCCTAGTAACTTATTATAAATCCTATAGAAACAAACTCAACTGTTTAATTAAAATAGCAAAAATAAATTTTTATAAAAATAAATTCATTTCAGTTTTTTAAAAAGTCCAAAAGCTACTTGGAAATTAATTAATGAAATAACCGGTAAAAAGTTGACAAACAATGATAATATTAAATTAATAAAAGTAAATGAAGAACAAATAAACTGTAGATCTGAGCCAATCAAAGCATGTAATGCCTTTAATAAGTTTTTCTCTGAGGTGGGTCTCAATTTGAGTAAAACATTTAATACAGTAAATATGGAAATACCAGTATCTCTTGATAAGCACTTTGATAATATTTTTACCAAAGATGTGGATAAAAAAGAGGTCCTTCATTTGTTTAATTCACAAAAAGAGGAGACCGCTGCAGGATTTGATAAAATATCAGTAAAGCTTATTAAAATAATTTTACCTCCTATAATTGACCCATTAATTACTATTTATAATAAAAGTCTAAAAGAAGGTATTTTTCCCACTCAGTTTAAAGTAGCAATCGTTAAACCTATTTTTAAAAAAGGTGATTGAAAATCTCTGGGAAATTATAGACCCATTTCAATAATCAGTATTTTTGCTAAAGTGTTGGAAAAAATAGTAAAAAATAGACTTATGACATTTCTAGAAGAAAATAACCTGTTATCTAAAAATCAATTTGGCTTTAGAAAAGGTCTAGGAACTATTGATGCACTTAATAATGTATCAAAAAATATCTATAATGCACTTGACAACAATCAAAAAGCTATAGCTGTTTTTTTGGATTTTGCTAAAGCCTTCGATACTGTCGACCATAGACAACTATTAATTGCTTTGCCAGGTTTTGGTATTGTCAATGAAAGTCTAAAATGGTTTACAAGCTATCTGAAAAGTAGAGTTCAATATGATTCACTAAATGACTATATGACTGATGAATCTTATATAAACTGTGGTGTACCACAAGGCAGCGTGCTTGGTCCAGTATTGTTTATAATGTATATTAACAGTTTATGTAACATGAGAATTAATGGATCTATTGTTACCTATGCCAACGATCCCTGTTTACTTTTTACTGATGCTACATGGGATCTGGTGTACAATAAAGCAGAAACAGAATTAAATAAATTCATTCAGTAGGTACTTAAATTTAAAAAAGATTTCTGTCAATTATGATAAAACTGTTTTTTTGTTTCTATTTATAATTGTACTCAATTTTCAAATCAGGAACTAATAATTTCAAATGATTTTAAAATTAAGAGGGTAACAAAGGTCAGATACTTAGGACTAATGCTAGACTGCAATTTTAGATGGAATATCCATGTACAAAATATTAATATGCGCTTACGAACTGTTATATAAAAGTTGAATTGTTTGAATAAAACTCTCTCCTCAGATACCATGAAAATTGTTTACTTGTCACTCTATCAATCTATCTTACAATATGGTATAACTATATGGGGTGGTGCCTCTGAAAAAACACTAAAAAAAATAATATCTTTACAGAATAGAGCTGTTCGTATCTCTCTAAATAAAACAGATCGAGTTGGTTCTCCTAATGAAAATTACAAAGAACTGGGTGTACTTCCTCTAAATCTGTTATATAAAAAATATTCTATATCTTTTACTTTAAAAAATCATTCTAAATTCGATCCGTAGGTATATAAATAAACGTTAAACTTTAAAATACAATCTAAATGTCAATTATTCAAATAAATGTATTGGTCAGAAATTTGTAGACTATTTAGGGCCAACTTATTTCAATTATCTAGAAATAAATGTCAAAAGGTATCTTAGATTAAGTAATAATATTAATATAAATAAATATTTAACTAATGTTTTTATAAATAATTTGTAAATTCAAGTATCTTGTTTATAATTCTTCTTTATTGTTTTTTATTGTTTATTTTTGTCATATTTGTAAATACTATATTGTTTATGCTATATTTTAATCTCTAAGGAAATAACTCTGTAATAACTCGCTACCTTCAACTCAAGCTACGCTTAAAGAAGGTACCTAAACCAAAATGTTTTTAAAATGTTTATTTAGTATACTAATTGTACTAGTATTTTTAATTTATTTAATAAATGGTTTATCGAATGAAAAAAAAAAAAAAAAAAATATATAATTTGACTCACCTAAAAACTGTAATACGATATTAAGTATATTAAGTAGTAGTAGTAGTACCTAGGTATACCTACATGTAGGTTAGTTATATTACTATTCTCTCTTCAAGTAAGTATAAAATAACCATAGTTATAATAACAAATAGTTTATTTCATATAATACTTATATTTAAACCTGTTGGGTACGGATCCGTCACACGTCTCGCGGACTTCGGTCGACCGTTCGTCGTTATCGGCCTACACCCCACCACGAGCACACGCGCTTCATACAACGCTTATCTCGCCGTTGTCGCGCGTGTTTATATCATCGTTTCTCTAGTCCGTCGTCTCTCGTCCGTCGTACGTCGCTCAGCCATCCTGGCTTTTTCGGCTTAACGGTTTTGTGTTTTTTCATACCTTGCGGCCGTCTGCGCCAAAGGTACCGCCCGGACAGTGTTAGGTCCGTTTTCGTGTAGTGTCGTTCTGCACACACACGAACTTCATTATTTTGCGGCCGTCTGCGCCAAAATAATAACCGCCGTTTTTCGCCGTCCGATCGTTTCGCCGTGCGACCCCGAGCCGTGCACCTACACGTCCACGTGGTTTCCGTCCGTTCGCTTGACGCAGTGCGAAATCACCGAACGCGGTGCGCTCACCTAGTTTTTTTGTATTGTTGTGTCGTTGTGGACGACGTCCGTCCCGCAACCCGAGCCGTGCTCAGAATTTGTTAATTTACATTCGCGCCCACGTGTTTTCGTCCGCCGTCGTTACCGGCCGCATATACGTGGTGTCGTCGTACCTGTTCGTCACGTTCGACGTAGGTGCAAGTGCTGCACACCAGTTCAACGTCCGTTGTCACCGTCTCACCGTCGAACCGGGTCAGTTGCCGCACTCTCACCGTGGTATCATCGAACTTTCATCGTATCAGGTCGTACACACGATTATCTTGTTTGTTATTGTTTACATTTATTACTCGCATTACGCAACCCATACGTTTTTTTTTGTATTATTATATATTGAATTATTATAGTAGTTTTTTGCCGATCGAGTTGTGATCGTGCCATGACAAATACTATTACTAACACTAGTACGTAAGATATTTGAATTGCAGAACGCCAACAATAAATATTGTTCTGTACATTGCCATACCATCGAACTCAATGTTATTAGTTATCTTATATTCATGTCCTTATAGTTATACAGTCCACTATCTCTCTCATCCTCCTCCCCACCGATAGAACGTCGAGGAATATTATACCTACGAAGACAACGAACGCGTCGGTTTACGTGTAGCTGCCGCCTGTGCACACACATCCAGGTACATCCGTCGCCCGGCTTCCTTGTGCAGCCCCCTTCTTCGCACAAAACCTATCTATATAAGTTATATCAAATAGTATATAGTCATATAATTATACAATCTAATTGCCAGACTTAAAATAAAGAGGTACATAAAGTTCTATTTTGTTTATTAATATAGTATTAACTATTATTTGTATCTGTAGCAGTATTATAATCTAACCAAATCTTACTGACCTAAAAACTGTAATAGCTGTATCAAGTACCTACTACATAGTATATTATATATTTAATATTTAATCGAGCCCATGTCAAACGATTTAGGTGCGTTGCTCATAAATGTAGATAATAAAAGCAATAGCTGTGGTTGTCAATTATCAAAATATTGTTATTTATCAATTATCTATTTATTAATTTGATTAAACCTACCTATTGTATACAAAAATTAATAATAATATATAATTATTTTCTAATATTGTTTCTGTGACATCCATCGTCGACTCGAGCTGGGATAATATTTTATAAAGTATATAATTTAACTAAACCAACCCAGCCACCGTGTATCAACTCTTGATAAATATAAATTTATATATTATAATATGCATGTACCAGGTACCTACAGACCGACTCTGTGGGTAGATCGTGTAAGCAGTAAAATATAATATAATAACGCAGTTTCTTGAATCAAAAAATCGAACTTTTCGTCGCATATTTTCATTTCCGTTTATAGTAATAACAACCACATACTTGAAAATATAAAAAATAAAAAATTAATATTAAGTTGTGTTGTTGATAAGTATACCCAGATACCCTAACCTATTATTAATTACTACCTACAAATGTTTAATAAATTACCTTTATCTATATTAATATTTCATTTGTATTTTAAAAAGAAGGTAATTATTAGAGCCCCGATTTATATGCATTTAAAAAGTGTCAAATATGATGCAAATATGCAAAGAAAAAGTGGCTAAATATGCAATTATATGCATTATGTTACACTTTGTAAAATGTGTTTTTTTTTTAAAAAAACCACATTACTACACCAAAGAAAATTCTAAAAATTTTAACAAAAACAAAAAAAAAATAATTATATCCACTGCTCTGTATTTCAAATCATTTAAATCAATCGAAAACATTTAGGAAACTTAAAAAAGAGAATACAAATAAAAAAACAACTAAAATCCTACATAAATATTTTAGATCATTTAAAGTTACTCTTAAAAAACTAATGGAGAACTTAAAAAAAAAAATACAAATCTTTTAATATAACATTTTTGAAAATTTAAATATTTTAAACATTTTACATTAATAATATACATTTTAAAACTTGTCAGAACAACACTAAAAATTAAAATATTATAATAGGTTCTTTTTAATAATTTTTAAAACAGTGAACAATAATATATTTTTCTATATTTTCTGATGTCATGGAAGTTCTTTTTTCAGTTAGAATTGACTTATACGTACTAAAAGACCTTTCTACATCCACCGAAGTTATCGGTGCAAACTTCATACATGAACATAGAAGGAGTTAAATTAGATGGCATAATACTGTTTTCTTTACCTGACAAAATTGCTGTTATCTGCTTCGCGGTTTGGAATCCAACATTTTTTTCAATTAAATATAACAATTTTTCTTGAATTATTTTTCCCTGTTGTCCTGGTACCTACTTTTTCCATCGCCAAAATAACATTCTTTACTATTTGAATAGAATCACACAAAGTTAAACTAGAACGTTCCAAATTTTTTATACTTTTCACTAGTATAAAAAAATGAGATTGAATAAATGTAAGGTCATTTTTAACAGACTCCAAACTTAGCATATTAATACATTTTTTTATACTTACAACATTTTTATCTTCTAATTTCTGTAAAATTATTTTGAGATTATCAAAATGGTCTGCACAAAAATTAGCTGCTTTAATCCATGTCCCCCATCTGGTTAACACTGGTTCTGGCGGCAAAGGCACACTGGGCATTATTTCTTTGTATACATCTACTCTCTGAAGTGCTTTAAGAAATACTTTTTTTAAATTACTAACCAAAGTATTTACATTGGGGTACATTTCTCTAACTTTTTCTGCTAGACGCTGGATCATGTGAGTAAGACATGAAATGTGTATCATATTAGGAAAAAATACGTTTAATGTTTTACCAGCTTTGATCATATATGGTGCTACATCGGAACATAAAAGTAATACTTTTTCATCATTCCCACCATGAGGCCACAATATTCTCAGGCTGTCATTTACGAAGCGAGAAATTGTCGAATGATTAGTTTTATCTAATTTTTTGCATGCAATTAAAAATGGTTTACTAGGACCTTGTTCATTTAACACACCAACCAAAAGGTTTGCAATATAACTACCGTTGATATCTGTAGTTTCATCAACGACTAAATAGGTTAGGTTAGGTTAGGTTAGGGTGTTCCAAATTTCATGTGACAGCAGATTTCAGCATGATATATTTAAATTAGGGGAAAATGACCCATGTGAAAACTGTTTTGAATCATATAATCTAAATTAATTTGATATTAAATATTTTTTTTATTAATTAGAATGGGGAGGTTTGAGGGTCAACTTTTAAAATTCAAATGGGAACCTATATTTTTGAAATATGATTCGTGCACAGTTTAATTTTTAATGAATTTTGACTGTTCATTTACATTTATGTGATAATAATTGAAGGAGCTATCGACATCTGAATATTGGTGTTAATTTATAAAATGTCAACAGTGAATAATACTAAAAGTGCTTCCGTTGTACGACCTTAATAATCCGGGTATCGAATTATCAATTTATTACAGTATACAGTAGTCAGTTCAAAGTACTACAGTATACCGTTTGATACTCAGATTATATGCAATAATATGATCTAAGATTTGATAATAATTGATATTATAACTATCATATAATTTTATCTATGATATTATATTTTATAACCTTAAAATTATTTGATGTTTACCAATGTAACATGTATACATCCGTATACCTAGGTATAGTATGTAATATTGTCATAGTGCTACTCAGTGATAGTACCTATCTTTGATATACTAATCTATACAAGCTCCAAGGTTAGGTCTATAAATCGTGTGCACGACGCACGTGTGCTACCTCTATGATAATTGATAACGCTTGTCACTTTTTACTTTATAATTTTTATATGACAGTTAAAGCCACGAAAATGCTTAAAACTTAAAAGTTAAATTAAATATAAATTAAAATACATAATATCTAAATATTTCATTATTTCAATCTGGTTGATATTTTTAAGTCATTGTAGTTAGTGCGTTTGAATTTTCGCCAACTGGTTGTTATCGTCTGGAAATGTTTGCATTTATTTTAAACTGACATCAGAAGACTCTAAGAACTCTATTTACTCTTAGAAGGTACTTGTTTGTATCACAGAAAAATTATATTTGTATTCATCACCATCATTAGTTAAAATTTGAGGATATGTATAGTTTGATTATTTATCAATTTGTAAATGCCTTCAAAGTCGTATTTAATTATGTTAGTATAACAATTTACATACGCAAGATAGATATCTAAGAATAACATAATATAGAATGCTTAATCCAGTTTTATTTTCTGAGTGGTAATGTTAATACATTTACTTATCTATTATCAATACATTATACCATATACAGTGTTATATTAAATATTTAAGTGGCACAATTCAGTATATTTCAGCACATAAATATCTATATAATACTAATGTATTTAATATTATTTTACTTCAATTCCTGACGCATGACTTAACTTAATATTTTTATTTAGCCCATTGATTTAAATTAAAACTGTTTTATTGGATATGACTGTTTGGATATTTCTTCAAACAGTTTAAGAAAAATGTTAACTTTTTTAAGAATTAAAACATTTTTTAAATTCTTGAAATGTAGACAAGTTGAACCATTTTGAATAAGACATTTTTAAATTTCATAGTCGTCATTATTCTCAATAAAATTATTCTTCAATTTATCTAAAAGTCATTATTCATTATTGTACCTATCTAGAATTTCAAATTTCAAATTAGCTTTTTCATTGCAATTCTATGTATGGTAAATTATTATGAAAAAGCAACATTTAATTTCTCTAAAAGTCAGGGTTCCTAAGATTTCAAACATGACAACATTTTTTTTACTAAATAATATTCTCCATATTATTCATATTGTGCCGTTGTTGTGTCTGATGATACATTATTACTTTAATGGAACAATTCAAATTATTTCAGCACCTAAATATCTTTATCTAAAAGTCATTGTTCATTTATACATATCTAAAATTTCAAATTTCAAATTAGCTTTTTCATCACAAATCTAAGTGTATTCTTAATTTCCTAAGTTTTCTAATGTGACATCATTGTTTTTATTAGATCATATTCTCCATAATGATATCATAATGAAAAGTGGAACAAATCAGAATATTTTAGATACTCATATCTAGATTTGCTATTTTGCCAATGTATTTAACATTATTTTACTTTAATTCCTGATTCATGACTTATGAGTAATACCTAATTTCATAGAGTTCAATAATTTACTTAATAAATATTTGCATGTATGGGTTTTTGTTGGTTTGTGTTAATAAAATTATAAAATGTATAACTTTTGACTTTAAAACTTTAATGTAGTAATATTTTACAAGGTTATTCATACAAGCCTAATAGTTATTTTCTACTAATTTGTTTAAACATTGGTCGCATTAATTAATAGTGTATACCAATACCTTTAGAAGACGATTGAACCTCTGGCGTGGACCAAAATTCTGCAAGTAAAATGGCAGTCATAATTATATTGTATTGAGAGTATACACTTGTTGATAAACATTGGTCACATTAATTAATAGTGTATACCAATACCTTTAGAAGACAATTGAACTCATTTAAACCTCTGGCGTGGACCAACATTTTGCAAGTAAAATGGCAGTCATAATTATATTGTATTGAGAGTATACACTTGTTGAAAATAAATGTATGCGAATGTTTTAAACAAATAGTTGGTACCTATAATGATATAACTTTTTAACAACTTTTTAAAGGACTGTAGTTATATTTTACAAGGTTATTTGCACAAAACCAACTATTTTTAACCAATTTGAGCATATGAATACTTTTTAAAGTAATTTGTTTAAACATTAGTCCCATTTAATAATGTAATAAATAGTATAGCGAAATAGTAAATAGTAAATATACATATAATTTATTATTCGATTGCACCTCTTGTACGAACAATGTTCACTAAGTTTAAATTGTGAAGTATGTTTTTATTAGGCATTTATTAAACTGCTGACTTTCATAAATTCTATATTTCTTTAGATACCTAGGTACCTATATTGGATAATAACGAATAATGAATTTGCTTTTAAATTTAGTTTATCATACATAACTTAATAGCTCAATCATTGTAGTATAATAAAATTTACTAAATGACGACAATAATGTATCATTTTATTAGTGAATATTGATCCTTCATCCTTACATATCAAAATTGTACACAGTTCAAATGTATTCACATTTATTAATACTACATTAAGTTTTAAAATGGATAGTCTTTCAGAAATAATGAATTTGCTTTAAAATGTATTTTACCATGCATATCTTGCATATTCCTTGCTAATTTGAATAAACTAAAATGTACTAAATGGTTCAACAATTATTTGTCTTTATATCCTTTCTTATGAAAATTGTACACATTTCAAATCTATATTTATTTATTAAAATTAAGTTAAAAGTTTTAAAATTGCCCTAAATCCAGAATGAAAATGCTTCTAAAAAAATATTCAATCCCGGTCTAAAACCAGTAAAACCTAACCTTATTCACCACTCAGAATATATTACGATAATTTTTACTCTTTAGGTTAGGTTAGGTTAGGTTAGGACATATTTAAAATACTTGATAATTATGTTTGATATCATGATTAGGACTTTGATGTTGTTATAATTAATTAATAAGGTTACAAGGTTTCTACTTATTAGAGCAAAAAAAAATGTCATAACAATGTAGTTTAAAAATTAAATTGCTTACACAAATGTGATATACATATTTTACCAACGTTGTGTAAATATTGTGTAACTTCCATGTGATGAACCATGCTACAGATGTTAAACCCTCCTATGGGCCTATCGTTTTTTTTTTTTTTTGCTTAAGCCATTGGAGCAATAGGTACAATTATTTAAAAAAAAAAAGGAAAAATTGATAATACATTAATAATAATTAAATACATTTTTAATAAATTCAGTCAAAATTGTCTTGTTCTAGACTTCTAGAGTATACATATTTGCTCATATTTTTATGCGTATATGTTTGTGTTTAAAGCTTTTAAGTCTCTAAGTCTAGCCATAACCTTTAGTCTTTAGTAAATGAATTATTAATTTTAATAAAATTAATGTAACAACATCCAAGCCCTAGTTATTATAATTTAATATTAGATTGATCATATCTTAATGTTGTGAAAAGGTGATGTTCTTTCAAAATCTGTTTGATTTTATATGCATCATTCAACATTATGTTGAACGCGAGGTTTAATCATACAAGTTTTTGAAATCAATGTTTTCATTTTGCAGCGTTTAGAAATGATATACATGTATAATATTAAGTTGATTCAAACATAATATGAAAGTATAGGTATGTAAGTATGTTATTATAGTCTTACCAAGGTTCGGAACTTTAAGCATTTGCATATTTGTTTAGAAAGAGCATATTGAAAATCTGATTCGATACAAATTTGATTCATAGTAAGTATATTACAGATACAAAAATGTTTGTTGCATAATTTTGATTATTTCGTGATTTTTTGTACAAATCCTCATATTTTAGGTAGGTATAAGAACATTAATTATATGCATATGATATCATAGAATTAACGTGAACAATTTTTTTTTTTAGAAATTTATACTTTTATATTGTTTGACAAAATAAATTAATTCATCAACGGCTATTACTATTGCTCCCAAAAATAATATTATAATCTTTATATCTACTACTGAGAACTTGTAATAGTGATCGCTGACCGGCCCGTATTTATTTTTATTCAAATTGACCACTAGATTAATATTTTGTACCATGATATAAATAAATTGTATAATCGTAGGTAATTAAATACATAAGCGTGCGGTGTTAATTTTTTTTTTAAATTCTTCTAATTTTTTTTTAGACACCTACCTAATT